TAGGTAAATTAATGAATACATAAATGAATGGATAAAGGTAAATAGATAAATAGAGAGGTAAATAAAAGTTAAAAGTAACAGATAGATATATTTCAGCAAAATAGTTAGCGAATGAATTAATAAAAAATAGATAGACATAAAATAAGAGCATAGATAAGTAAATAAAAAGAATGAATGGAGAAAGAACAACGAAAAAAAACAAACAAACAAACAAACAAATGATTCAATAGATAAATAGTTCGTAAATTAATGAATGTATAAATAGTGAAATAAACAAAGGTAAAGAAATAAACAAACAAAAAATCAGTGAATAGATAAATGGATTTTAAAAAAGCATAAATAAATAAATATTTTCCCTCCCTCCACTGGCTAGATAAACAATAAATAAGTAAACAATAAAACAGAAAAACAATAACAAAGTTCTCCCTCTCGAACTTATCCAAGTTTTTGAATAGCATCTTCTTGCTACCTGTGTCTTGGTTTCTACTCTCTCCTTCCCTTTATCTTTCCCCTTCTCTTCCCCTTTCTCTCCCTCTCTTTCTCTCTCTTTTCCTCTTTCTCTCCTTCTCTTCCTTTTTCTCTCCTTCACTCCTCCCTCTTTCCCTCTTTTCCTCCCCTTCCTTCCTTTAACTCTCTCTCTTTCCTTCCTTCTGTCTCTCCCTCGTTTTTCTTCCCTTCTTTTATCTCTCTCTTCCTTTCCTTTATTTCTCCCTTCTTCCTTTCCTCTCTCCCTATGTCTCTCTCTCCTTCCCTCTAATTCTCTCCTTCCCTCTCTCTTTCTCTCCTCAATTTTCTTCCCTGGATCCCACTATTATTCTCCTTCCCCTTCTCTCTCTCCTTATTTTCTTCCTTCCATCCCTCTATTTCTCTCCTTCCATCTCTCTCTCTCTCTCTTTCTCCCTCCCTCTCCTCTCCTCTCCCTCCCCTCCCTCCTTTCCTCTCTCCTCCCTCCCTCCTCCTCTCTCTCCCTCTCCCTCTCCCTCCCTCCTTCTCCTCCCCCCCTTTCCCCTCTCTCTCTCCTATCTCTCTTCTCATCTTCCTTCCCTCCTTCCTCCCATTCCTTACCCAAAATGGTGAGCCTCAGCGTCTTCCTGGCCATGTCTTGGTCAGAGATGCCGTAGTAGGTCAGTGTCTCGTTAAAGTCCGGGTTCACCGTCTTCGGGATCGTTCGTGTCCTTAGTTTGTTCGACTGTGAAAGAAATGGGAAAATTAGGGAATTAGATTGATTGATACTGATGATGGTAGATAGAGGCATATATATATATATATATATAATATATATATATATATATATATATATATATATATATATATATATATATATATATGTGTGTGTGTGTGTGTGTGTGTGTGTGTGTGTGTGTGTGTGTGTGTGTATGCAAGTATATGTATAATTTCTTATGTCGCACAATTTTAGGCTCCTTTATAGTCTTAGGAATAAAAAGAAAAAGTTATTCAAGTTAGAATTATATATGATATCCATGTTCGTTTATATACTATTTTCTCTTGAATTTACTAATTCCCTTTTCTGCTTATTTTCCTATCTTCTATTTCTGTATGCTAATATTTTTCGTTTCTTTTCAGTTATTCTTTTATATTCAACAGAAGAGCTTTCCTTTGCTATCAGGATATCACTATTTTCGTTAGCTTTATCCTTCTTAATCTGGCTTTCTTTATCATTTTATTGTTTTTCCTCATCCTCTCGCTTTGTATCTATTTTTATTATTTTCTTACATTGTGCCATTCTCTTCTATTCGTTTTATTTATTCTTGTAAGTTGTCTTCCATTATTCTCCCCCCCCTGCCCCCTCCAGAGCGCACATAGCAATAAATAAATAAGTAAATAAATAAATGAAAAGGAAATGACTACTGGTACGGCAGAAAAGCCTCCGAATAGTGTACTGCGCATGCGTGGCTTAGGTTCGTACTTATCACCCAGAAATGACGCTTATGTGCGCATACACATATGAGTGCCGTACACCTAACCACAAGAATTCGGATACGGCTGCCGTACGCGTAACCTCGGACAAAATAAAAGTAAGGACTACCAGAAGAGTACTTTGATACTGACAAATTCTAGCAAAAAACAAAAAAACAAAAAACAAAACAAAACAAAACAAATCATAGGATACCTTAGATTGACTTAGTTATCAGAGAAGGATGTCCTGTCTTTGCTCATGAGACTTCCATCGATTAAGAAAAATTTAAATACTCAAACCAGAAAATCTCCCCTTCCAGTGTTGATTTTTGAGGCGCGATGCGAAGCCCATAAACAATTTATATTTTTTAATCATATCCGCTTGATTTTTACTATGATGCTCAAAAAAGTGTACGCCAGAGATTAAACCCCCCCCCCCGAAGAGTACGGTTTATTAGCATATGCAAATAAGGAAAGGACTTTTTTGATGTGACCCCTATGACTCATATGACCCCAAAGTGGATCATTTATCCTTTTATTGTTTCGTATCTTCTATTTTTATTATCACTGTTATCCTCATTATTGTTGTTATCATTGTTATTATTATTATTATTATTATCGTTATTGTTACTAATATTATTATTATTATTATTATTATTGTTGTTGTTGTTGTTATTACCATTATTATTATTATTATTATTATTATTATTATTATTATTGTTATTATTTTGATTATATTATTATTATCACTATTTTATTATTATCATTGTTGTTTCATTATTATCATTGTTGTTATCATTATCATTGTTAGCAACATCATTATTATTTTCAATTCCTTGCCACTATTGTTATCATCATTATCATTAGTTTTATCATTATCATCATTATTAGCATTAGCATGATCATTATCGTTATTATCATTATTATTGCTATTATCACCATCATTTTTATCGCTATCGTTATTATCATTATTGTTATTACTATCATTATCATCACCATTTTCATCATAATCATTCCTCATATCACAATAACAATTCATCATTCATCAATGCTATTATCACCATCGTTATCATCACTTCAACACTTACCTTACTAGCACCGGGAAGAAGGTGTAACTTGACGTAGGGATCTGCCTGTGAGCCGCTATCAGCTGGTCTTAGGTTCTGTGGAGGAAAAGCGAAGAGTTATGAGTGGGTGGTTGGATGATGGCAGGGTGATTAATGGAGGGAGTGGAGAGGGGGAGGAGAGGAGGAGTGGAGAGAGGGGTGGAAGGGGGAGGGTGGCATAGGGGAGGTGGTGGTGGAGGATGGATGGAGTGAGGTGGTGGTGGACCAGGAGGTGGGGGAACGAGGAGGAGGAGGGGAAGTGGTGATGGAGGAAGGAATGGAGGAGGAGGGGAGGAGGGGAAGGAGGGGAGGAGAGGGAGGAGGAGGAGGGGGGACGTGGTGGTGGAGGGGAGGTGGGAGGAGAAGAGGAGGAGGTGGGGACGAGGAAAGGAGGAAGAAGGATGAGAGGTGAAGGATGAGGAGAGGGAAGTGGTGATGGAGGAAGGAAGGGGAAGAGGAGGAGGGGAAGAATGGAGAAGAAACAAGATGTAGAGAAGGAGGGTAAGAAGAAAAAGAAGGTTAAAAAGAAAAAAAGAAGGGCAGAGAGAAAGAGGTAAATGAGAAATCGAAGGAGAAACGAAATAAGACAGGAGAATATTTAAAAATAACCCAAAAGAGAGCGAGATGGAGGTAAAACTAGATATAAATAAATAGACAAAATACAGATATGAATATAAAGAGATAAATAATGACGTAGCTATTTAAATAGACAAACTGACAGACAGATAGACAAATACCCAGACAAACAGATAGACAGAGAGCGAAAAGGGATAACAGGCAAGCAGAGCTAAACCTGTGTCCGCTATTGGTTTTCTATATACATATTTGCATAAGCTTGCAAAGACGGACGGACGCAACGTGTGTGATTGCAAGCTGACTTCCAAGCTGCAGTTGCAAGCGAAAACAGGTCACGTGTGATGGTGAAAAAGGAAAAAAAATGATGGTGAAATAGTGGTTGGAAAGTCAATGGTGCCCGAAGGTTCTCTCGAAGGGTGTGTGTGAGAAGTATGGTGATGGGACAAATTACACACACACACACACACACACACACACACACACACACACACACACACACACACACACACACACACACACACATAAATATATATATATGTGTGTGTTGTGTGTGTATGTGTGTGTGTGTGTGTGTGTGTGTGTGTGTGTGTGTGTGTGTGTGAGTGTGTGTGTGTGTGTGTGTGTGTGTGTTGTGTTGTGTGTGTGAATGTGATAGATAGATAGTAGATAAAAAAGGCATGTGATGTTTTGTTAATGGTTGGGACTGTCGACGCGAATTTAATGGATTTTCGTTAATCGGAAGATAGAAGCAGAAAAAGAAATGAAAAGAGTAACAAAGAAAGAAGGAGAGAGAGAGAGAGAGAGAGAGAGGAGAGAGAGAGAGAGAGAGAGAGAGAGAGAGAGAGAGAGAGAGAGAGAGAGAGAGAGAGAGAGAGAGAAGAGAGAATAGAGTGAATGAGAGAGGGAGAGAGAAAGAGAGAGAGAGAGAAAGAAAGAAAGAGAAAGCGAAGATATGTCCAGATGACTAAAGAGAAGAGAGAAGGAAAAAGATAAAAAAAAAGAATAATCAAAATATTCATACAATATTCCCACCAGGCCTTTGGAGAAAAACAAAAATAATTTTCTTGACATTTCTGGAGATTTTACGATGACTCTATAAAGAAAGAAAGAAAAGAAGGGAAAAAACAGATTTTCCGCGACCATTCCAAGTTTAAAATTTCTAGGAATTATACGAATGTTGGTGAGAGTTTGAGTGCGTACTCGAACGAGAGAGAGAGAGAGAGAGAGAGAGAGAGAGAGAGAGAGAGAGAGAGAGAGAGAGAGAGAGAGAGAGAGAGAGAGAGAGAGAGAGAGAGAGAGAGAGAGAGAGAGAGAGAGAGAGAGAGAGAGAGAGAGAGAGAGAGAGAGAGAGAGAGAGATCATTATTTCTATTGCTGTTGTTGTTATTAATATTATCATCAT